GGACAGTGAAGAAATTCTTCCTTAGGTCCAGCCTGAAATGGTCTTGCTGAAGTTTATAACCATTTGACTTTGTCATCCCTTGCGGTGCTTTGGTGAACAGTCGTCCCCCCAGATCCTTGTGAACACCCCTGATAAACTTATAGGTGGCCATCAGATTGCCCCTGAGCCTGCACTTTTTCAGGCTAAAGAGTCCCATAGCTCTCAGCCTGTCATTGTAAGGTCTGTTTTCCTGACCTCTGGTCATGTGTGTGGCTCTTCTCTGGACTCCCTCAAGCTTCTCCACATCCTTTTTGAATTGAAGAGCCCAAAACTGGACACAGTACTCCAGCTGCGGACTCACCAAGGCCGAGTACAACAGGAGAATGACGTCCTGGGATTTGCTTGAGAAGCATCTATGGATGCAAGCCAGGATTTTGTTTGCTTTACTGGCCACACCATCACATTGAAGGCTCATATTCATCTTGTGGTCAATCATGACCCCCAAGTCCCTTTCATCCATAGTGCTAACCAGTGTAGCACTGCCGAGCCTATAAGGATGCTACAGGTTTTTTCTCCCAAGGTGGAGAACTTTGCATTTTTCGGTGTTAAATACCATCAGGTTCTTGTCCTCCCATTTCTTGAGCCTGTCATGGTCAGCCTGGATTGCCCTCCTGTCCTCAGGTGTGGATGCTTTACCCCAGAGTTCGGTATCATCGGTGAACTTGGCCAGTCTGCTTCTGACTCCAATGTCCATATCATTAATGAAGATGTTGAACAAAACAGGTCAAAGGACAGAGCCTTGTGGGACTGGTCACAGGGTACCATGACGATTGACTTCCATCAACCACCACCCTCTGGGTCCGACCACGGAACCAATTCCCCAGCCAGCAGATTGTGGTGGACCCAAGGCCGCAGTTGGCCAGTTGTACCAAGAAGTGATCATGGGATACCAGATCGAAGGCTTTTTTGATCTTTTTTCCTCAACTGGCAGGCATAAAAAAAGATAGTGGTAACTTCCAAACTGTTCACAGAATGTGGTTTGCTGAGGTCACCACTTAAAAAAAAACAACGTGTCCCATACATATTATCATATTATGACTATTCTGTAATGGCCAGGGAGGAATCAGCCCATATCATTATCATTTGTCTTACATGGAGCTGTCACTACAAGTTTGGCTTGGCAAATGTTACCTATAAATAATTATTACTACTGCTACCAGTACCATGTTTAATCAGAAGAAGGGTCACTTGAACATTTTTCATTCTTGAGTTTTACATAGAACTACTGTCATTCCTCAACAATTGGCAAGTTCCTTTAAAATGCCCCTTTTCTGCAAGGTTTCCTAAAAAGAGAAAGAAATGCTTAAAGGACACCTATGAGTTTCCATTTATATGGAAATTATTTTTCCACCTTGAAAATATTGTTTTGCAGGGAAAAATCAGTAGTAATTGTACTCACTAAGTGTTATATTCTTATTTCTTTATGCTCTGTGCATCTGCTGAGAGGACAGGTTTCCAGATAACATTTTTTCCTAGTGGGTTACCCTGCATAAGTATTAAACTTAAAATATTGTGATTTAAAAGCCAGGAAATGGCTGATTTCCACCTACAACAGAAAATGCAAAATTCTACTTAAAACTCTGTTCCTCTCTTGTCCCTTGGGATTGCAAAGCATTCTTGTTTTATATAACATTTTGATAACTTGTATTTATTGAAACCCCCCCCCCCCAGAGAATAGGGTAATAGCTCTGAAGTAGCTTTTATTGACCATCCATCATGTTTCACTGAAGAACTGTGTGGATTTATACTAGAAGAATATTTAGCTATTAAATACTAGAAATTGACCTGAGAAATGAAGTGTATCTTTGGATCTGAATTAGATCTTTTCTCCTATTTGGAGATGTTTGAAACTAGGATTTTGATATAGTCCATATTGACAGTAACAGGCAGCTGAAATGTTCTCAGTCAGGCACGAATGGTCTCAGAGTTCAGAGGAGTTTAGACACTGAAGTCTCTTTAGATATATCTGAATAACACGTATGTGTTCTTTAACCATTTAGAAAAAGACATAATTTAATGTCATCATGAAATAGGATGGTTAAATTAGTTTAGCTGTCCTGTAATAAGTATAATGAAAAGTAGTTGACATATAAAATAGACATTATTTATCAACAAAATTGCAAAAATTCTGAGTAATATTGTGTGAAGCATGCTAAAATAGTTTTTAAAAGTATGAATTGTGCATGAACCAGTGTGGTATGAACCAATATGCTATATCTTTTATGTCAGGAGGATTTAAGCAAATGCTTAGATTAGAACATATGTTTAAAGGCTTTTGTTAATCAGAGAATTAATCTGGTCAAACAGATTTTTTTTTTTTGGATAAAAATAAGCTCGCTTAAGTGTTATTTGAAGTTTCACCCTCTGTCAAGCAGGTGATTGAATTATAAACCATTCAAAATCATGGAATTATAAAGGAATTGCTGTTAATTTCAATTGACAGTTGTCAATAGATGTAGTGACTGCTGCCATACATTTCAATGAAAGACTGCCACATCTCTCCATTCAAAATTGGTCACCCCATCACCACCACCTGCCATCACTGTCTTTTTTTATCTTATATATTTTATATTGGAATGTATCCTGAATATTTCCACATCTTATTATAAGCTTCCCTCAGGGTTATCTGTTGAGCATGAAGGTTCGAATGAATGTTCTTCTAGCCTGTGAATTAGAGAAAAGGGCATTTGACATGCTTGGTGCATAAGCAGTCAATGTCTAGACATAGTTTTTCAATCCAATTTAGGATTTTTCTTTACCAGTGCAATTCTCTGTTGCCAGTTGTCTATATTTTAAAACGAAAATCATAGTAATTTAATTTCATGCATCTTCTCTAATTTAGCCAGAGATTTTCATTCAGTTTCAAATCCACCTGCTACTTTTCTAAACTAATGCCTATTGTATCGCAAGTCAATCCACATTAAATATAATGTCACATTAATAGTTTTTCCAATCTTTTGTGAATATTGTTTTTCAAAATGTTTGTAAACAGCAGAGTGAAAATGAGGTTTTTTCTGTATTCTGATTGCAGATGTATATTGAATGATATAAATGCCTAAAGCTCTTTGAATAGTAAACAACTTCACAGGAATGCTGATTCTTTCTCTCTCTGCAACATCAAAAAAGTGAATATTAGGGGTAGACTTCTGTACTTTTCAACAAACATTTATTTTACTGGAGAGCACCATTATAGTAAGGTACTAAATTAATAGTTCTGAAATGCTTGGCCTTCAGAAAAGGCATAATACAAGTATTAGCAATGAAAACATAACCATCTCAGGCTGAAGGAACAACTTTTAAATATCTGCCCCTATATAAGCTTTGAATGTAATCTATGCAGGTGTCAATTATGATGGTTTTCCAGTTTATGCAGCAACTCGGCTGAGATCACACCTTCACAAAGGACATCAGTTAATATTATCTTTTTTCAATATCCAGTTCAGTTGGATTTGAGATGAAAGGCTACAAATTTAGTTATTCTTCTCCTATGCAATTTTAGATTTTTTTAACTTTTAAATAGCCTTTAGTCAAAATTTTCTGCACACCTGGATCTTTCTAATTTTTAAAAAAATAATGTCAGACAGGAATGATAATAGAACGCATTACCGATGCAAAAATTTGGAAACAGATTTTGATCTGCATGTTTGGGAAAAAGTTTCATAGTCTCTTATTTTCACTGTTTTTCAGGAGAATATGTTGTAATGACTACCCACTTCCATTTAAAGAGAAAGATTGGTTATTTTGTCATTCAGACTTATCTACCATGCATCATGACAGTGATTTTGTCCCAGGTCTCCTTCTGGCTTAACAGAGAATCTGTTCCAGCAAGAACTGTATTTGGTAAGTAAAATATACAAACTTTGTCCAGATCCAGATAAGTAAAATATGGACACACACTCATGTGCAAATCTCATGTGTCACTGGAGAACAGGACTGGAAGTATACAAAGTTATGAGAAATATGTTTCATTTTGAAGTTGTCGCAACAGATTATTTTTAAGGTCTAATCTATTTAATTGATGGCTGAAAGAATAAAAAAAGGAACAGAACAACAGAATCCTAAACTGGTTTTAAACCTAAAGAATCTCAGACCATTTCTACTTGTGTAAAAATGTAAAGGAACATACACGAGGGGTTGGCTTATATAATAGTGAAGTAAAGTTGCAATGTAAAGTTGTCAAAGTAGGAGAGAATTTGTATTGACATGGAATAAAATGGCTGAAGCAGATTTTGGCTGAGATTTTCCAGAGAAGTTCTTTAATTATATTAGAAACAGAAGACTTGCGAGGGAGTGAGTTGGGCCTTTGGATGATCAGCCTATAAAAAAGGCACCAAAGGATGACAGGGCCACTGGTGAGAAATTAAATGCATGCTTTGCTTCTGTCCTCACATTGGAAGACGTTATGGACATTCTGTCACCAGATCCACTCCTCTCTAGGGACAAGTCAGTGGAGCTGACCCAAATTGAAGTTTCAGTAGATGAGGTCATAGAGGAAACTGATAAACTAAACAGTAGCAAATCACCAAGACCTGAGGGCCTTCACCCTAGGGCCCTGAAGAAGTTCAGATTGGAAACTGCTGAACTCCTAACTGTAGTGTGCAACATAAGACTGAAATCAACCTCGGTACCAGAGGACTGGAGGGTTGCTAGTGTGACTCCCATATTAAAAAAAAAAAAAAATAGAGGGGATGTAGTGAACTACAGGAAAGTGAGCATATCTTCTGCTCCTGGAAAACTTGTAGAAACAATAATAAAAAAAAGAATTTTTCAGCACATGGATGAACACAACTTGGTGAAGAGGAGTCAACATGGCTTTCTTAGAGGTAAACCATACCTCATCAAGCTACTAGAGTTGTTTTAGGGTATCAATAAGGAGGTGGATCAGGGTAATCCAGCTGACATAGTATATTTGGACTTCTAAAAAGCCTTTGACAAAGTCTTCTGTCAGAGGCTCTTAAGTAAGTAACATAGTCGTGGGATTACAGGGAACATTCACTCATGGATCAGAAATTAGTTCAAAGATAGAAATCAAAGAGTGAGTATAAATGGGAAGTTTTCAGGGTGGAAAGTGGTAAACAGTAGGGTCCCCAGGGATCTGTGTTGGGACAAGTGCTATTTCAAATATTCATAAAATATCTGGAAAAGGGGGTGAGCAGCAAGGTGGTCAAATCTGCCCATGACACAAAATTATTCAAAGTGGTAAAGATGATGGCAGACTGTGAGGAACTACAGAAAGATCTGGCACTATGGAGTGAATTGGCAAATAAGTGGCAGATACAATTCAATGTAGATAAGTGTACAGTGATGTACCTGGGCAAAAATAGCCTAAACTATATGTACACTGTGATGGGTTCTACATCAGCTGTTACCACACAGGCTAGAGACCTGGGTGTCATTGTAGCCAGTTCTCTAAAAACATCTGCTCAGTGCTCAGCTGTCATCAAAAAGGCAAACAAAATGTTAGGAACTATTAAGAGTGGAATAGTAAATAAAATGGAAAGAATCATCATGCCCCTTTATAAATCCATGGTGTGCTCACACCTTGAATACTGTGCCTGGTTTTGGTGCCGTCACTTCAAAAAGGATATAGGAGACTGGAGAAGGTACAGAGAAGGGCAACAAAGATGATAAGTGGTATGGAGGGGCTTCCATACGAGGAGAGACTAAAGTTCAGGGGGACACCTGAGGGGAGACAAGATAAGGGTTTAGAAAATACTAAATTGTGAAGAGAAAGGAAATAGGGATTTATTATTCACTCTTTCACACAACACAAGAACTAGGTGAAACAAAATGAAATTAGAAGTAAGTTGAACCAAAGGGAGTTCTTTTTTCAAACAGCCTGTAATGAAAATGTGGAACTCATTGTCACCAGGTGTTGTGGAAGCTGATAGTGAAGGTTCAAAGAAGGCCTGGATATATTCTTGGAAAAAGCAGCATCAATAGCTGTTGAACATGGGAACTAGGGGCACTTACACATATGCAGCGAGGCTTCTCCAACATGCTGTAATTACAGCCTGTTGGAGCAGACTCGACTAATCGGGTCTCCTGGGGTGTGGTAATTACTGTGCTCCAGCAGACTTGTGCTCCAGACTGTGCTCCAGAAAAAAGCCTTCGTCATACCCAGTTCACTCTCCTTTTAAGCATCCACTGTCTGCCACTGTGTGACACAGGATGCTGGGCAAGAGGTACCTATGGTCTGACCCAATAAATGGCAATGTTTATGTT